CGGTACGCCGAAACTGTCCGGATCGCCACCCGCCCCGCTCGCCCAAACCCAATGATGGGAGATTAGCTAATTTCTCGAGTTTTTTCACAATGTGCTTTTCAAGACGTCGACACGTATTATGGAGGCCTCTATTTGGTAAAGGAATGACGTCATCGTAACACTAAAAGCATCAAAGTATACATCGCACTGTTTATTTGAATTGCCATAAAGGCAGTACATATCGAAATCGTTTCAGATTTAACTTCAGACACCTTTCTTCCCGCCCTTGACCGATTTATAGCGCGTTGAGGAATTCCGGTAAATTTACATAGCGATTGCGGTAGTAATTATATTGAAGCATTGCGTCAATTAAAATTTCTTTTTGCGAATGAGGCCGTACAAAACGCCATGATCACACGAATCCCATGTAATTGGGATGTAATTTCAATCCTCCCGCCGCCCCTCACATGGGAGGAATATGGGAGGCTGGCATTAAAAGTATAAAACATCATTTAAAACGATTTATCGGAAATTAAGTACTAATATATGAAGAAATGGAAACGTTCGTAATTCGTATCGAAGGTTTAGTCAATTCTCATCCTCTAACACAAGCTTTGGCAGATCCTCATGATCTACTCGCATTAACTCCAGCCATTTTTTAATAGACCAACCTATACTCTCCTTACCGGAAACTGACGTTACTGCAATACCCATGAACCACTACCCCATTAATACATATATAAGATTTTATGATTTATGTTAAAATACAGTAAATTGTTTTACATTATTTCAATACATTTCACTTATTTTACAGTCCACTCATATTTTTTTCTCCTTACATGATTTTATAGACTCTAAAAACGAACTTAAACTAACCCGCAAATCATTATCGGGCGTCCCGTTCAAACAAAACCAACGAAGGACCCTAAAGGGCCTTTGAGAAATGTTAAGGTTAATTGGAAATTACAAAAACCAAAGCTAATGCAAAAGTGAGCCTACATTGGACAATGTAATAGACAATGAAACGTTTAGAGGGGCGTTCTGTGCTTTATGGTGCTAGACAAGTGGAGAGTGTACTGTACACAATTTGATATCCACCAAACTGTTGGTCGAAATAGCAATTATGAAACAGTTAACGCGCATAAACGTATTATATATTATTAAAACATAAAAAATATTAAACGCCGTCGTATACGCTGGCGGCTCTAATAAAACAAATTAAATAAAATATACAAGAGTTGGATATTTTATTGTTACATTAAAAAGGAATTAACTAAAAAAGTTTTATGATTAATATATCAATATTTTAATAATTTTAAAGAATAAAAACCCAGCACAGGGGGGTCGCGGCACAGTGGTGACGTGGCATAGTTGGATCAAGTATAATGATATCTGACAGTGATTAAAATCACTATAAAAAAAAAACGCTTCGATGCAAATCTTTAGATAGTGTTTAATTTTAAAAAATTGGTGGATTATTCCAAAAGCTTCATAAACTGCTAGTTCCTTATTAATATCCTGATTAAGA